TTAAGCATAATGCAAATATCGTTACGATTGAATTTTAATCTTAGTATATAATACTTGACAAATATTCGAATATTGGTGTCGGTAACGATTGAACCCATCTACTCATATGAATACCCGCCATGTGTCCAATCCTTCTCATAAGCGCACATGAAAACCAAAGTCTGGGTTTCTGGAACCGGCTGCACTTCATGCTTACGTAGGTTGAATCTCTTTTCTTGTACCCGCATAATACACTTTGTCAAAGATTCAATTAAGAAGTTTTTAAACTTTGTCCTCTTCCTCAACCAGGATAACAAGCACATACCTCGGAATGACAAATCGTGTGCTTCAATTTCTAATAATGAGCTTTCCACATTGAATTCCGTCTCTAATGTTGTATTATAGGGGAATCGGGTACGCCATTATCAGAAATTAGATGGACTTTAAATCCATCCCTTTCACAGACTTGACCACCAAGTCACTAGTTACATCATTTCGGCAAATGACCAACTAAATGATCTCAAGTCCGGTCACATTATATAAACACAACTCCATGAGTGATCAATCCATAGATTTTATAGTGACTAACTCCCACATGACCATACCTGTCATTTTCACTTGGCTATATGCCTAAGCCAAAGTAACATTGCTATCTCAAATAACAGTAATAGTTGAGATTGATTTCAACCATAAAGGAATTTTATAAACCAAGTCTCTTAACCATCACAAACTTTGACTCCATAGTGAAACCAATGGTTCAAGTTTTCTTTTTAGAAGTTCAAGAGATGGCATCTCCCCCAAGCCAGAGGACTCATCTTACTATTGAAGTATGATCTTCAACATAAGAATGCTTTTTAGAGGCCCAAGAGATGGCACCTCCCCCAAACAAGAGGACTCATGTTAATGTTGAAGTATGATCTTCAACATAAGAAATCAACATGCATCAGTGTATCCTCCCAAAATGAATGGAAACCCACTGTAAGTCAATGAATGTTGCATAATGCATTGTGCCTTTGAGATATCCTAGTACACGCCTCATTCCATTGCCAAATGATGAGCACTAGGATTACTCATACACCAACTTAATTGTTAGACTACATATACGATATCTTGTCTTGTGAAAGTCATTGCATACATCAAGTGCCCAATTAACATGGAATACTCAAGTTGTAACACTAGTTGGCCAGTATTAACCATAAGTTCCATACTTGGATCCATTGGGGGTATTTAACCCACGACAATGCATAAAAATTGAGAGAATGAATCTTCTTTGTCGTTCAGCTTGATTTAATACACAAAATCACATTTGTCTCCCCCATGTCCTATATGAAAATTTTAGATAAAAAATAAATTTTTAGTAAAGTCCATTTATCTTTGATTGGTCTCATAGATAAACGTACAAATATATGATGTCTCCATTACCAGAATCATTAAACATTGTATATACACTTTTGTATCCTTGGTTTAAAATAACATAAACCACTAGACAAATTCACACCATCAAACCACTTAGACAAATCAAAATTTTCTAGGCTTTTGTAAATGTCGAAATAGAGAATCAGACAAATTACACCATTGAGTATGAGACCAACACAAAAGTAATTGCCATTCTCTTATTTCTTCGTTTTACTAAACCCCCTTCTTATTCCGCATCTTTGTCTCTTTGCTCTTCCAAGTTACCTTCCGAATATGGAATATACTTTGAGAGTAGTACGAAGTAAACATATCTTTTATGGCCATCGACGGAAATTCTCGCCGCCGAAAATTCTCATCATGTTCCCCACATGGGACCTTGATAAGTAAGGCAATGTTTCTTTTGCTCTTGGTCACGAGTAGGGATGACAATTTGAACACGCCTCGGCGAGTATTACCCGACCTGACCCGCGATGGGGCGAGACATGGTTATCTACCTCTGACCTGTCCTGTCCTGTTCTTGCCCATTCTATCTATGGTCTAGGAAACCAGATCGTACTGGCCGGTTCAACTGGTTCAATAACCGGACCAGAAATGAAACGATATGCATTTGCTGTTAGAAATACCATACCAGCCGGTTTTGGCGGTTTAACCGGTTCTAAACGAAATGCCGCCCAATTTTGTTCCAGCCGGCAATAGCCAGTTTGGCAAACAAAATGCCGTCGTTTATGAAACGAGGAAAAATAAATAAAAAATCGCGTCCAAACTCAATAGCTAACCCGAATCCCTAATCATGGATCGAAGAACTTCTTTTCTCCTGTTTCACCCTGCCGCTCCTCTTCTCCAACTTACCCTTGCCTCTAACGAGTGACGATTGACGATGACGACGAGAAGGATGAGCTCTGTTTCTCAAGAACGCCGCCGATTCTCCCTCCCTGCCTCGACATTCCTTCGCCTGCTCCAGCCCAACCCTGCCTCCAGCGACTGGCTAGAAGGACGAGATTGAGAAATGTTGTCGTTTTCTCGTGGTTCCCTCTCTTCTCCGAGTCCTGGCTGAGGTCGACGCTCTTCTCCCGACCGCCACTGTTTAAGAAGAGGAAGATAAAGAAGAGACATGATCGATGAGAATAAGAGAGAAAAGAAAAAGTACAAGAGAGGGGAGAGAGAGAGACTGACGGGAAGCGAGAGATAGGGGAAAGTATTAAAGAAATAATCATTAAAGATAGAGAGAGGGGAGAATGTGGGAGTGGGAGGCATGATGGACAGTGGGGGACATGACATGACATGTGTCCCTTTTTTGTGTCTTTTATTTTGGTATATTTCGGTGTTATTCCGAAACGATAACCTCATTTTTCGGTACAGTTTTTTAACAAAAACAATATTTTATTATTACAAAAACGGTATTTATCGGCACAAAAGGGTTGAACCACGATTGTACTACAAAATACCATACCACAGACGATTCCGGTTTGATGTCCGATACAGTTTCCTGAACCATGATTCTATCTCAATTTCTTACAAAATCTATTCATATTTCTCATATTTTGACTTTTCTTCAACTAGTTAGACTCAATTACTCATTCTGTTATCACTATTTTTCATTCATAAATTTTTTTCCTTTCTTTGTATCGTAAAAAGTAAAATTGCTTGTATGTTTTTTTCAAATAGTAAGTAAGAGTGAGTCGACCTGCCCCGCCACGTATCCGCGCGTGTATTACCCGCCCCGACCCACAGCAGCGGGGGCGGGGCATGGGTATTGAGGTACCCGCCCCACTCCATCCCATTGCCATCACTAGTCATGAGGGAGAGATACATTGATTTGCAAAATTGCAAAGTGGTGTCGTACATGGCAAGTTTAAGTTGAGGCTCAAAAAATTGAATCCTCTTTTGAAAAAGTGGGAGCACCACCATGGAGTCCTTGGATTTTCGATGGTTTTATGAGTTCCTCAGTGCACACATGAAGTTTCTAGATGTCCTTAGTTGACAAGGTCGTCAACCGAGAGTGTGCGTGGCACGAAGATATGGAAGTAAAGTTTAGCCGATTTTGATTATTCTCGAGGCACCACCGATGATTGATAGTGAATACCATTATTTTTGTCCTACAAGTTGTATGGCTCGTGAGCAGTGTCAAGATCAAGGTCTCTAGACTGTGATGTCAACAAGCGGCTCGTGAAACTTGTTAGTAAAAGGGCGCATTTTGCTCTGAGATCACGGTTTCACTGCCGACTTCACGGTCGTGATGTGAGGTCGTGATTTGTTCACTAGGAACCTATATAAGGGAGAGTTGGCTAATTTGAAAGGATGAAGTCCTAGAGAGAGATTGGAGCTTCTTCTTCAAGGTTTAGAGAGAGAGAGAGAGAGAGAGTTATGAGCTAAGAAGGGAGGAAGAAGAATTTCACCTACCCAAGGCTAGAGGAAGGTTGATTGCTTATCCAAAGGTTGAATCATGCATCTAAGAAGAAGGAATATCAACTTGCAATGGGTTTTTTCTTCTACCTTATTTGTATTTTCTCCTCTAGCTGTGGAATAGTCTCCAATTTCACTTGGATGTTATGAACCCTAGTCTAGGATGTGTTAGATTGTAGGAATCAAACTCTATGCGTGTTGGGTCTGTGATTACTTTAATGTTTTGAGGTACTATTCATGGAATTTGGGTGTTGTTGATCATGTCTCAATTTTGGGACTAGTTGACCTAGAAGAAGGAAATTCCCTTATACCCCAATATTGGAAATTCAGGTAACCTTCTCTAGGGGGCAACTTGGGTTAAGAGAGTGCCACCATGATTTCAACTTGATTGGTTACCTTTTGCAGTTCTAGATTATCTTCCGAGGGAGTGATTTTGAAATCCTTAGTCGATCGATTATGAGAGTTAGAGTTTCCTTGCTAATTGTGACAATCTTTAGTTGATCGATTAAGAGGGTTATGAGTTCCTACCTAATTGTGATCTCCTCGCGGTCGTTGTATCTTGACATGAAACTAGGGAGAGCAATATCCAAGTGATTCTTTCCCAATCGAATTCACCAAAGTTTAATTGCTTGCTTGTTTAATTTGCATAGTTTCCTTAGCTTAAACCACAAATTGATCACTAGATAGTAGATAAAGTGTGAACAATTGAAGTAAGGAAAGATAGATTGCCTGGGTTGATATTGAAATACTTATTCTATCCTACACTCGTCTATAGATTGCACTTGACCTTTAATTAGGATTAAGTGTAGTTGTAACCGAACCAGACTGTGACATGAGGGTATTTTCCATACCCATGAACTGCTAAAGAAAATTTTCATATTTAAGAGATTGTTAGCTTTGCAAGGATACACCTTAATCCATGCCACCCACAATATCCCAAAAATCTACTAACAATAACCAAATTAATCTCACTTACATGATTAAATCAACAAAAAATACACTTCTTAAAATCGTGCTAAATATAAACATATTATTAGAAGTCCAGAAGCATAAGTTGGGCCCACTCATAACTATTTGCCTAAATATCTCTCTTTGCACTTGCACAAGAAAGCCCAACCGAAGACCTCTATAGTAATTGTATAATTAACGGGGACTATAATAAAATAAAAAAGAGTGTAGGGACCGTGAATGGAATCAGCTCATAGTTTAGGGACCACATTGTCAATTAACTCATTATAAATGCTCCAGTATTTAGCAAGCGGCCATAGTTTTAGCCATTAGGGCTTACACAGCACAGCAGATAGCAAATCCCTAGCAGTGTTAAACCCTGAACCCGTCTTGGGTTTCTTCGACTCATTCCGCCCACCATGTCTGCTGCTTCAATCGTCTCGCGCTCCGTCCTACTCCGGCGGGCCGCCGTCAACCCTTTCCTCGCTCGCTCCTTCTCTTCCGTTGCGTCTTCCTCTCACCGGTCTCACCCCCTCTTCCGCTCTCTCCGACCCCTAGCCGCCGTCGCCTACTTCCCTACCTTCAACTCCGCCTCCGCCTCGGTTCGCTGTCTGGCTACCCGGACGACTTCGTCCTCGCTTAACGATCCCAGCCCTAACTGGTCCAACAGGCCCCCGAAGGAGACGATTCTGTTAGATGGCTGCGATTTCGAGCACTGGCTCGTGGTGATGGAGAAGCCGGAGGGGGACCCTACTAGGGATGATATCATCGACAGCTACATCAAAACCCTAGCTCAGGTCGTTGGCAGGTATATACCACTGATTGATACTTTTGATGGGCTATTTGATTATGTGTTATAGTATTCGATTTGGGTTTTAGGGTTTTGTTTTGGTAATGCAAAATCCACTTTGTTGCAGCGAGGAAGAAGCTAGAATGAAAATCTACTCTGTTTCAACCAGACACTATTTTGCATTTGGGGCTCTGGTCTCCGAGGAACTTTCGTACAAGTTGAAAGGTGTCATATTGATTTCAGTTATTAGATTGATTTGTTTTTGGCATAAAGCGGGGTAGAAGAGCTTCGCGAAATTTTTATGTTCGTTCTTATTTTGTATACAGAGCTGCCACGAGTGCGTTGGGTTCTCCCAGATTCGTATTTGGATGTGAAGAATAAAGACTATGGAGGTAAACTCTCATCCTTTCTTTCATCAGTCTCCATTGATAGAAGATTTACGAGATGCTAGCTGAATCAGGTTGTGTTTGTTGCTGCTGTTTTACAGTCTAGTTAAACCATATGCTTTGTTTGGGCCATTCGAGATGTGAATCCTGTTGTGCTCAAGGAGCCACTGAATAGTGGACTCTCAGCTACTTTTACTATATGGCATGACTTACCAGAATCATATTCCTGTCTTGCATGTATTAGTTAGATTAAATTATGTGTCGAGATGTGTTGATTCATTTTGTCTTGCATATATAAGTTGGTTGTCTTTGATTACCAGAATAAGAATCCTGTCTCGCATGTGGTTATCAGATTGTATGTGCTGATTGCTCTCTATGGGTGACGGCTTTCCCCAATGTTAAGTGTGTTGTCATTTTTTTTTTTCATTAGCCACTATAGTTTCATAGTAATATATATGATAGAGGTTCATTTTTCTCTTCTGGTTTGCTTCAGGGGAGCCATTCATCAATGGACAAGCTGTCCCCTATGACCCTAAGTATCATGAGGAATGGGTGAGAAATAATGCAAGGGCCAACGAGAGGAATCGCCGCAATGACAGACCACGCAACTTTGACAGGTCAAGGAACTTTGATAGGAGAAGGGAGAATGTTGCGCAAAATCGGGATTTCCAGAACCAACAGGCGCCTCCTCCTGCTATGGGTGGTCAAGGCATGCAGAATATGGGTAGCCAAGGCATGCCACAGCTGCCGCCACAGTATCCTCAACATAACATGACAGGTCCAGGTGGTCCTCCACCACCGAACAACCAAATGGCCCCTCCTCCACATAACATGGGAGGGCCAGGTGGTCCTCCACCGCCGAACAACCGAATGGGGTCTCCTTTGCCGCCGCAAAACAACCAAATGGGAGGATGGCCTCAGAACAATGTGGGAGGACACGGTATGCCACCACCTCCACACAACCCCATGGGTGGAGCTCCGCAGAATACTTACGGCGGGATGCCACAGACGAATGCTGGAAGGATTCCTCCGCCAAACAATCCTGGATGGTCGAATGGGGGCCAGGGGAACTTTCAGGGTGGAATGCCACGCAACAATGCAGGTCCTCCTTACCAGGGTGAGCAACCAAACTACAACCCTGATGGCTATCCTCCAAACAGAGATGGGAGCGGCCCTCGCTACTGAACTTCAAACTGAGTTTTGGCTGAAAACAATTATGTAGAGTGAGGCTATGATGTTTAAGACTGTTAGTAAGGTGTCCTCAGCACCACGCTGCTGAACCGTTACTCCCCCATCCCTTTCTCCTACTTGGTACGTGTGAACATTTGGCTGATGTGTTATTTAGGGTTGTTTAATAACGTTGGTATGTTCATGAAGAGCAATAGTTACCGTATTTGTTCTTAAGAGGGTGGATATTTATTATTGGTTGCTCTTAGGTCCTTTGAAGTACCATTAGTGTTTATTTTCCACTTCTCAGTGGACTGAATTGTTGGTCACTTGATACGGCTCACACCGTTTCTACAGAAGCCCAATTTAGCCTCTAATCCTCTAATGATGACCTAGACATGATGACCTTGACACAGTGGTCTGCTTCTTTGTCTTCCAAGTCAAGAGTGAACTTCCAAGGAAAGTACAATAGCTAGGTGTTGACCTCCTAGTGTCAGGGCAGCTTGCCCAATCCGAATAACAATAGTCTGCAATTTCAATTCAGCTTGACTACTGAAATGTATTCCTTGCTCGGGTGAATTCTTTAAATATCACAGTACCTTGTAAGTTGCTTGTAGATGATTTGTGTGAGGATCCTTCTGGAACTGGTATAATTGTTGGACTGCATATGTCAAATCAGGTCTGGTGATAGTTACATAGTGCAACCTCCCAATGAGCCTTCTGTATAACTCAGGATCATCAAATCTTGCTCCTTGTCTTGCTGTCGATTTGGTTTTTGTGTCTGCTGGTAAGCAATACCTTTAGCCTCAAGATATCATGTTTCTTCCAGAAGATCCAAATTGTACTTCGTTTGACAAACATGCAAGCCTTAATCCGATCTAGTCACTTCCGGTCCCAAGAAGTACTTCAAAGGACCTAAGAGCTTGTGTGAGAACCACGCTTCTAGGGATTCTCGATACTGATCTTCGGCACTCGTGACAATTGGGGATTTAGGGATTGAGATTAAGAATTAGGGATTTAGATGAGATAGAATAAAATTGGGAATCGGCCGAGGCCTTGGACTCGGATGAGACGAGAAATTAGGAGTTGAGAGGATAACTAGGGTTTAGGAGATTTTGCTTAATATTCTTCTTGATTGATTATGACGTAAACCCAAAGTACATATATATAGGAAATACTGGAAAACCCTAACGAATAACCTAATTGGACTAAATCTCTACTAACCATAATTATCATTATCCTACCTAATATAATAATAGAAACCATATATAATTGTGTTTCTGACAATCCATCCCCCTTGAGAACAACCTTGACCTCAAGGTTGTAGTTGACTTCTACCTCTTTGACCTTCCGCTTTCTTCGTTTCCAATTGCGCTTGATTCCTTGAATCAACTCTTCTCGCGCAACTCCCACTTTCCTTGTCTCTTCTCCACCTACGTGACACATGTCACGTTCTCCATAGCCGAACAATTCTCCATTTTCTCTTTCAAAGTCCGAGTGCGAAAATTGTTCTTCTTTGTCCTCCATAATTGTCTCCATGGACTTGGAGGTGGAAATAACCCCTAGCTTCAACAAACCTTCATTTCCTATACCTTGGATTTGGCCCACAATTGCTTGGAGTAATGAGGTGTTCTTCTTCTTCTTAATTTCGTTTGGGCTTATGAGCCCACTTGCCAACCTCATAACTCCTTCCTTCTTTTCCCCCAAACCTATCTCTTTAAAATCATATTCCACGTTGGGCTTAAGTCCTCTTTTCTGCATTGGTCCAACACCATATAAGAGACACTTAATCCAACAGCCCAACTGAGGCCCACTTCCTTCTTTTGTCAAGTTATGCTCTTGCAGAATAGATCCAACAAGACAGTCAATATTAGGCCCATCATAACCTATTTGCTCGGCCCAATCCGTCCACTTCTCCTCAACTGCTTCTTGTCCACCTTTCAGCCTATCTTCCTCAGCAATTGGGCTCCTTGATCTCCGCCCAAACCAACATAAGAGGGCTCTTATATTGGGCTGCCCACTAATTGGGTTGTGCGAAACCCAACTCAGCTCACCCATTGGCCCACGCTGCTGTTGCTCCCCAACCCTAGTTGGCGACCTAGGGTTCGCAAGCGGAGGGGTGTCACCCTCCTCCTTCCCTCCGTTTCTCGTTGGCGACCCGACTCCCCGACGACTTGGCGGCCAGCCACAACCCGCCGCCTCCTTCTTCTTTGTTTCCTTCCCCGGCGGCACTGCACACTCCTTTCGATGGCCAGGCGGCCAGCCCGTCGCCGCCGCCGCCTTCAGCTCCGTCGTCGCCTCGATAGCAGATCGCGGCATCTGCACGATTCGGGCCGCCGCCGATGTCGTCTTAGACGACGGACAGAGGATGCCGGCGCAGCGCTCCTTCTTCTTCCTCTGGAGCACCGGCGTTTCTTTCTTAATCTTAGCCTGCTTTTCTTCTTCTTCCTCAATCAACGATTTCCGCGTATCCTGCGAGATGATGATTTTCGGAACCTTGATGGTGAAACTGCCTTCTCTGAAGCTAGCGCGACATTGTGAGACATTGTAGATTTCTCCGAATTCGATTTGCTTTTCGAAATGGATCCATCTGCATTCGTAACCCAACGAACGCTCTGCTGTAATTGTTAGCACATTTGATTCAATTCTTTGTACATCTAGGTGCTTAGCCTCGAACCCAGGCAAGGAAAAGAATAGCTTGATGCGATGCGGATATTCCTGTTTGTAGATGTTTGGCTCGAAGTCTTCATAGATGCGCTTATCCCCGGTTGAGAGTTGTGATAAACTCATATTCGCAACCGGAGCTTTGGTACGAGTGCCTGTAACCGGGCTCTGATACCACTGTGAGAACCACGCTTCTAGGGATTCTCGATACTGATCTTCGGCACTCGTGACAATTGGGGATTTAGGGATTGAGATTAAGAATTAGGGATTTAGATGAGATAGAATAGAATTGGGAATCGGCCGAGGCCTTGGACTCGGATGAGACGAGAAATTAGGAGTTGAGAGGATAACTAGGGTTTAGGAGATTTTGCTTAATATTCTTCTTGATTGATTATGACGTAAACCCAAAGTACATATATATAGGAAATACTGGAAAACCCTAACGAATAACCTAATTGGACTAAATCTCTACTAACCATAATTATCATTATCCTACCTAATATAATAATAGAAACCATATATAATTGTGTTTCTGACAGCTTGATTTTAAACTCTTTGCTTAGAGCCTTCTTAACTTGCTCAATGTCCTTAGGTGCATCACTTGCCACTATTATATCATCTACATAAACCAGCACAATTACTGTTCTTCCTTGAATCCACTTAGTAAACATAGAGTAGTCTGAGCTTGACTGTGAAAATCCACTCCTCAGTAGGAATTGGTCAGTGTGGCAAATCATTATCTGGATGCCTGTTTTAATCCATACAAGGATTTCTTCAGATGACAAGCTACCTGCCCTGAACAAGATGGTGGCGAAACAACTCTCGATGGTACATTCATGTATACCTCTTCAGTTAAATCACCTTGCAAGAAATCATTAGATACATCCATCTGCTATAGACTCCAGTTTTTAACTGTTGCTACTGCCAATAAGGCTTTCACTGTGATAATCTTTGCTACAGGTGAATATGTGTCCAAGAAGCCTACATCATATACCTGTGTGAAGCCTTTTGCAACTTATCTGGCTTTGTATCTTTCAATGGTGCCATCAAGTTTCAATTTGACCTTGAACGCCAATTTCTAACCAATGGCTCTCTTATTTTGTGGCAAAGAAACAATATCCCATGCCTGGTTTTCCTCCAGTGCAGCCAGTTCATCATCAATGGCTCTTTTCCATTCTACATGCTTCACAGCTTCATCATAACTCATTGGTTCCATCTGTGTCATCACACTCATTGCATATTTCCTATATTCTATGCTGAGGTGATCCACTTCCAAGCAAATAAGATACTTGTTATTGAAGCAGCTGCACCAAAACCACCAAACTTTAGTCTTGTGCCTAGAAGATGGTTCATAATCAACCTGAGGTTCAAGTTCAGGGTCATGTTCACCATAATCAGAAGAAGATGAATCGTGATTCAGATAAGGTGGAAGTTCTGGTTGAGAAGGAGACTGAGACTGTGAGGTTACCCCCTATCATCAAAGGGTGGAGAAGAAGTGTGAGGTGTAGGAGGAGAGGAAAAGGGTATAGCAATAGGTGGTGCAGAAGGGAATGAAGGAGGAGTTTGAACAAGAGGTGGTGGTGATACTGATAACACTTAAATTGGTATTATTTACCCTTCATATTGAGGTTTGTTTCGTGCCAATTCATGCGCATAATTGCTTGAACATCGTCAATTGCATCCCTATTTTGTTCCAATTTGAATTCGATGTGATTTTAGGGTGTGTTAGACGATAGTTGCGAATTAGGTACAAAACAAGGTCACAAGTGTAGCAAGTGGGCAGAAGACTGAAGATCCTAGCCTAGAAGAGAAGATCACGGCCGAGATCATGGAATGCAAAGTCAAGCTGAAGATTGATCCCGCGAATTGGAGGGCTGAGAGGGCAAACTTCGCGCAGAAGGAGCCATGAACTTCGCGCAGAAGGAGCCAAGGAATAACATATAGTTTCCCCAGTCGAATCACGGCCATAGTGTATTTTGACCCCGAGGAAGATCACGGAAGCGACTCGCAAATCATGACCGCGAAGTCAGCCTGCGATCTCCTCAATCCTGAAGGCCAATATGACTGTGTTGCATGATCGATGCCTCACCATTGAAGATCCCGCCCGCGATCTCTACCCTGCCGGCCGTGAACTTCTCCGTCCCTGGATCTGGATTGCCTATAAATAGAAGAGCCATTTTCCCATTTTAGGAGAGCTTCTTTTGGTTTTAGAGAGAGAGAAGAGAGAGAAGCTGGAGGAAGGAGAAGAGGGGAAGAAGTAGAAGGAGCTAGAGGAGAGGAGGCATCTTCCTTAACATCAAGTCTTCTTCCACCTCTTCTATGTATCTTCTTCCCTCCTTTATGGAATAGTCCTCTAACGTACTAGGGGTTCTAAACCCCAAACCCTAGTTTTAGGGTTTACTATGTATGTATGGATATTCTAGTGTTTGAATGAATGAATGTGTTTATCTAGTTGATTCTATTGTTATTCTATCCTTGATTGTGTTTGAGTAAGTCGCCATAATCTTCTCTATTAGTCTACTTTATGCTTCTATGCCGGGTATGGAGTTCTAGGGTTAGACGAGTATGCGTCATTAAGGAAATTAAGGTAGATGTATGAATAGGGACCTATGGTGGTCGAGGCAATTGAACCCCTACTATAGGTAGCCTTCCTAGATATACCCGGGATAAAACCTCGATGTGGACGGTGGATAGTATCCATTGAAAGGAGCTACGAGCTTAATGCCCCAGATACGATAGCCTAGATCAAGGTGACTTATATGGGTCTAGGGGAGGAGTACTCGGAGGTGTGTGGATAGCCACGAAATCCCACAGAAACGAGTTCACTCACCACATTCGATAAATCCTAAGTATC